TGTTAAGGTGAGTGCATTACCTACGGATTTAACTTGAGGAGTTAGATCTGAAACCACTTTCATCCCATTCAAAGTATGCGTACTTGGAGGAGTCTGAAAAGCTACCTGTGACCAAGCTATTGAAGGCTGACATCATATATCCCATCTCAGACAACACTTGGATATCTACTGTCCAAGTTGTTCAAAAAAAGAGTAGGATAACTGTTGTGCAGAAGGATAACTTTCCCCTTCCATTCAAACGGTTGAGAGATTAACAGGTTTTTATCATATAATCATTTAAGACTTCAACAATGTGACATTGTCTCTTTCTAGCTTATTGCAGAAGAACACTTTGTTTGTTTAAGTTGAACCAAGTTGCTACTTGATAGCCTCAACACCTGTACCATCTGAGGAGATAGACCCAGGATCCAATCTGTTTTAGTTGATTTTCATTTACATGTGCATTTTCATAACAAAAATTCTCCACATTGAGGATAATGTTGATTTCAAAAGTGGGGAGTATTTGCATTTCATGCATAAGGTTTTATTCATATTTTTTGTTTTAATTATTGTGTAATATTGTATATTAATGGGAGGATACTTTGGAAAAGATGACCGACTTGATCAGGAAGAAGAGTTCAAAGTTTGAAAGGTTTGATTCACATAGGAAGTCATGGTCGGGTTACATTAACATTGGTTTGAATTAATTTCAAGGTGAACAAAGCACCCAAGTGAGTTTTGAGCCTTATTCCTTTTTGTGTGTGTCACTCATGACATGAGAACCTTCCAGAACTTGATTGATTTTTCTGTGACACCAGATGAGCATATACACTAGTAGATATGATTTAGGCCTTTTTTTTCTTAGCTACTTAGCTAAATAGCTCACTCTTACCTTAAATTATCCTTTGAACCCACCTTTGAGCCTTAGCCTTTTCTTGGATTTAAACCCAAAAATTAAAGTCTTTCCAACCCAAAAACTACCCACACCCAGACTTAAAGGGAAGTAAAGAGCGTGAAATCATTACAAAAATCTAGTTCTACTCATCGCCAACAGATCTCAAAAAAAAAAAAGTGCCAAAGTGTCAAGAAAAAGAAAAAAAAATCATTTTGTTTGTGACTGTTGGAAGTCCCACATCCCATACCTCATGTCATTCGGTATGGTTTAAATACATGTTAGGTTACTCTACATATTGCCAATTAGTTTTATGTTAGAATCTTAACATGGTATCAGAGCCAAATCCTAACATCTTTCCGGTTATTGTCTTTGGGTCAAAAGTTTCCCTTTCGTTGGGTTAAAAATACCCTTTGCCTGGTTCAGCAATCTTCGTCGGAGGGGGCATGTTGGAAGTCCCATATCGCCTACCTCATGTCATTCAGTATGGTTTAAATACATGTTAGGCTACTCCACATATTGTCAATTGGTTTAGCTCTAAAGACACTCTAACATAAAGGTGACAAAACAGAAGATGCAGTTGGAACAAAGTTTCACGGTACATTGATCCATGTTTTCATTTTTCCTGAAGTCTTGGCCCACTTTCCTAAAATAACCTACGTTGAACCCTAGCCCCATTACAAGCCAAGTAAAAGTCCTATTGATCTGCGAAAGTATGTGTTGTAATGGTGAAAATTTAGAGATTTTTCAAGCCTATGGTAAAGGATGATGTCATGATGTGATGATGAGTGAAATTTTCAGCATAAATACTTGAGATATTAGAATAAACACTTTACCACTAGAGGATGTTCCCTTGAAATGAGTCCTGAAATCCTTAAAAAGTACTTGGTCATGATAATACTTTGTGAGTTATGATCTTGATCTTTTTTATTCTCTCACTTTTGGTTGATGAAGTTTTCCTTGACTATTATAGTTTTTAGGATATCAATAACGTTTACAACATTATCCATCTTTGCATTGCATGTATTCTTTTCTTTTCTTTCTTCTTTTCTTTCTTTTATCTTTTGCTTGGAAGTGCAAAAGAGCAAAAGTGGGGAGTATTTGATGTATGTCATTTTTACTCTTTATTTATTGATCTAAGACTATTTTCTGAACTAGTTATTTTATTCATAAACCATGCATTTAACATGTTTTCATTAAAAGTATAACATAATTCATTTTTTCTTAATTTATTGCATTTTTACGTAGTTTTAGCATAATAAATAATATACATGCATACATCCACATTGCATATTTCTTTTTCTTCTTTTGTAGGAGAGGTAATTTGAGATGGGCCAAATTGATATAAAGAAATATCCAAATTGATGTCATCAAACTTCACTCTTCTTGAAAGCCTAAGTTTATTTGTGCAGCCCACTTGCATAATGTTACAAATGAAAAATTTGAATGTAAATTAACTGTTACAGGAATCCAATCTAGCTGACTTAAAGGCCAACAAGAATCAAGAATTAAATGCAAATTAGTTCTGGATCATTCAAAATAGGAAAGAAACAGATTATTTTCTCCAAATCAGTCCCAAAAATTTCTCTTTGCAGCAATCATATTTTACAATTATATATTTGAGAAATATTTGATTTTATTGTAATTAATTTTATGCTTAATTTCTCTTGTTCAAACCCCTATAAATAGAGGTCTTATGACAACTCACAATCACAATCTCCTAGCCTGGGGTTAGAATTGTTGTTTTGTCTCGTCCCCATTTTCTTTTCCGACTCTCAGTTTGTAGTTTAATTTTTAGTTAAGCGAATTAATCTACTGGCAATGTACTTCTAGTTTGTTCTCTTTTATTTAATTTTCAATTTCTATTGAATTTTCTAGTTTATCTTGCTCTAGTTATTTTATTTATTCATTTCTCATTTTAATTTCTTCTATTTAATTGTTTGAAATTTTTATTTCAGTATTACATAATTTTTATTTTCAATTCGTCTCGTTTCCAATTCCAATTTACAATTTAGTTTTAGAGTTATGGCTTTCGAAATTTCAAATTTAATTACCGCATTAGTTTATTTCAAAGCAATTCTTGATTCCTACACTTTTAATTAAAAGTACTTTATATTAATTTTATAAGTTATCATAATTTTATAAATTTTAGTTATTTAAATTCTCGTTTCCGTTTAATTTTAATTCTCATCAATCTTCTATAGTAATTTGATTTTAATTTTTATTATTTTACATCAATTTATTTCTTTTTCACTCTTTCATTCATCCCCTATTTACTCTTATAGAGAGAATGATATGTGATAATGAATATGTTCCTATAATTGTATCCTTGTGATATTCGATACGGGTTAACTATATTGCATTAGTTTAACAACTTGTTTATTATTTTTTATCAGTATTTTGTGTGATCAAAATATTGTTATCAATAGGTGCTCGTGCTCGCATATGTGGTTGCTTATACTCGTGTCTAAATACCATATCGAGTCATCATCGTTACCTCCATGTCTTTTCGAGTTGTAATATGCTTCCACAAGTACTACTGAGATCTAATTGCCATTCTTGTAATTTTTCAAGTTATGGTCGACCACCAACAGTAAAGGTTCTCTAGATTTTACGTCTTCTACGAGGTTGGTTACCTCTTTCACCACCTTTTTATCAACTTAACATTCTTCAGCAAAATATCCAATCTTACCACAATTGTAACACTCATCCGAGTAATAATCTTTTGCATTGTGGTTATATTTGTCACACTTAAAACAATCAACATTATAGGTAGTGATTGACCTCCTCTCCAATCACATCCTCTATCACATCAGTTTTGCTGATATTCATCTTTCCCCTCACGACCTCTACCACCTAGGTCTCGACCATTACGTCTTCGTCCTCTACTTCTAGTGCTCTAAGAGTAGAAAATTTTTCTCTTCTTTCACAACTATATCATTTTGGAGCGCTTGAATTATTGTTTCTTCCTTCTTTTTCTTCTTTCGATAATCATGGTTTTAAAGAGAACGAACCAGCTATTGTACCATGAGTTCGAACATGTTCTTTGATCTCTTGATAGCGTACACTACATTATCAAAATCATCGATTAACGATCTCTAGATCTTCTCCACAATATAGAATTTAGGAGGTACTTCTTCATTATGATTAAGTTGATTCACCACAATTTTAATATGATACATAGTGTTTGTAGTCGAACTCATTTGAATCGATCATCATCCTTGTATGCTCTCTCCAATGCATCCCACGCTTCTTTTGAAGTTTTACTACTTGCTATCTTCTCAAAGTCGGATTTATCAACATGTACACGGTTGTCTTATCCTTTGCATGTTTCTCTTTCAACGCTTTATTGCAACTCTTGAAATTCCTTTGATGCTTTTTTGTTTTTCAAAATCATTATCAACTATCTTCCAATTATCTTAAAATCTAAGAAGGACCTTTATTAGGAGACTCCAATTATCATATACTTTTGTCCAGACAGGTCACATTATTTACTAGACCGATCATCATACTCTCTTCAAGTTCTCTCATACTTAAACTTGAACTCTGATATCAATTTGATAACTTTCGAGGTCCATAATCCCAAATATTTTGCCTAAAATATGTGCTTAATCAAAATATCCAAAACTAATATAAATATCTACTTAAACAAAATATCTAAATTAACATTTAAATCTAATATTTAATTTTATCCAACTAACAAACAATATAATATAATGACGGAAACCAAGTAGAGATTGTTTTCTACTCATTTTTCTTGTGACTGAAGTTCAATCCTGAATCTCAAAAGAATAAAACGAAATTATTTCAGTATCAAAATCCATATGATCATATACTGATAACATTTTCTTGCTAAAATGCATTAAAATTTAAAACCACACCGAAGCACAAGATATGCAGAAACAAGTTAATAACAAAATACGAATAATGTGGACGAAATCCAACACGTATCACTAACCACTCGACACCACCAACAAAGAAAACCCACACCAATCCACACTAAAACCATCTTCACTCCCACAAATAACTAAAAGATCCTTGATATGCAAACCACACGCCAAACTAGGAAAGAAAGAACAAAAACACTGCACTCCCTTGACTGATATTAGACCCAAGTCAACAACTAAAACTAATTCTCCTCCGAGAAGAAAAGTAGCATGTAGAAGCATCCTTGGTAACTCCACCATCTATCTCCGACACTTGAACATGTTATGTTGCTTGAAACAGCTGCAACCAAAACAACAGAACTACATCAGCACCTGCATGATTCATATACGCCAAGATTTTATTCAAAACAAAGTTCGTTATACTTGTTCATCTCAAGAGGCTCATTCCATTCCAACTCCAAAAAAGTCAGAACCAGAAAGTCATTGTTCAGATAATCTAATTCCTAATACAGTGCGTAACTATTAATTCATTCATACATAAAATTTGTTCTTAAAACACTCAGGGTTTGCTTCTTACCCCATTGATAGTAGGTTCGATTAGTTTCAATGGCTATTAATGTTGTTACCATTGAAATTCTGGGACCCTTTTCCGATGTTATTGAAGGATCCACGGACGTCAGTGCTTTTTGTTTGTGATCCAGAAGCATGGACATTTTGTGAGCCATGTCCACCGTGGTAAACCCCCGTGTTATTAGATCCACCAAGGCAAGAGCAAAGGTTCCCCATGGCGTCACAATTGTGGAAAAGCTTTTTCCTTCTCTTTTACACCACGCCATATACATACATACATATATATATATATATATATATATATATATATATATATATATATATATATATATGAAAGGTGGTGTCCATCGTATCTTATATATATTATTTTTAACTTAAAACTATATACCTATTTTTAAGTTTTAGACAATAAAAAAATATATAATATACTAAAAATATGATCAAATTTTATTGTGTTTGGATTAAGGAGCAAACTTGATGGAGTGAAAAAAAATGGTAAAAAATGAAGATGATTGGATTAAAGGAAAGAAAGTTTATAATTGATTTAAAATAAAAATATTAATTAGATAATTTAATAAATATCATTTACTTTATAAAAAAATATAATTTACTTTATAACAAATATAATTTAATGAGATAAATAAAAATATATTATTTATTAAAATTATTTTATTTTATCAATATATTTTTTAATTTATTACAAATGTAAATATTAAAATAATTTGTTTAAGAATAAATTATGAAAAAAATCAACAATTAAATAAAAATATTTATTTTAGATTGTTATTACTAAAAAAATTAACAATTTTTATATTAAAGTAATTTTTTTATGTATATGCTTTTATATAATAATTAAATAAATTATTATATATTTGTTTTAATTTATTGATGTTAATAAATTAATAAATATATTTACATTGTAGTAGTATTATAGAATGTAATGATAATTATAAATAGTATTATGTGCACAAAATATATCACTTATATTTATTTTCTTTTTTCCGTTCAAACGAGAATACAAAGTTTTGTTAAAATTCATCATATCAAATCAACACAAATCAATGTATCCAAATTAATATCAATATGTAAAATCAGCGGAAATATTTTTTCGTAAACATGACAATCCTAGAAGCAAACACAAGTTTATGTGTGTCACAAAGGAAGGAAAAGAGAATGTGAGAGATGAGCAATTGTGCGTCGTTTAGAAGAAAAGTTAGAGTGATACTAGGTTTTAGTCCCACCATGCCTCATTATGCAAAGAGAAGAGACTTCAAATGCTAGCCTTCTTTTTTTGACTTTTCAACAACCACAAGACAATTTACTCTATAAATTTATCTTCTTTAGCCTTTTCGTCTACCGAGTCTTCTTCTTCTTCTTCTTTTTAATTTTTTTAATGTCCAATAATTGATAAGGGTGGGGTGTTAGGTTGAAAAAAACAAAAATTCTTGTAATTCATCTGTTTGTAAGTGTTTAGGGTCCACGTCTACCACCAAGAGACAATTAAAAAAATGTATTTATGGTATTTGTTAATTGTTGGCACCAGTGTATTAATTTTATTATTATTCCCTGGTTCTGGGTACGTGAGTCTTAACGTTCCTTTGTTTAAATTAAGATAACCAAACTTCACTATATGTTAAGATAAATATAGATAGGAAGCATGTCGATGATAACGTGTTTTTCCCAACACATCTTCAAAGCCAACGCGAATTCCATCATGATCACCCCTCAAACAAACAATTTGTAGGTAAACCAATAATTAAAATTCATGTGTACACACTATATTATACTCTTGAAAATATTAAATCATGCTACCTACCATCATCACGCACAAATGCTATACCCTATAAAAATATCAAAGACACATACTAATGTTTAAATGTGCGTTTTTTTAACACTCCCCATTTTATAACAATCATATTTTTCATTCTAGTGTTCCATGAATTTTTCCTTATGTTATGATAAAACAAACCATATTTATTCCTTTAGTGTGTAAAAAAAAAAAATATCACTTAACTAAAAGTTGAGAACTTTTTTCATACAACAGGTTGCACTGATATATAGCCGATTATAATGTATATTTGAAAGATATTAGGGCTCCAACACACATAATTAAGATGGTCCCCACCAACGCTTAAAACAATTTACATGACATTACTCAACTCAGCGTCCACCCATTTAAATTTAAAGAATGACCCGAAGTCTTCAATCTGTAATCTTAAAAAAATCTTACGTGATACCTTACATGTGTATTTTATGGCCAAACTAAACATTATGCATTTGCAAAGTAACAAATTATTTGTGTAGGTACTTCTATTTTATTTTTCAAAGATGAAATATTATTTGAAAAATAAAATTTAAACTTTAGAAATTTCAAAAAGGTTTTGAAAAATAGTTTTATGTTAGAAATAAAATACTCATATTTATTTTTTTACGTTGTATGGGAAGATCTAACGACGTACATTTTGCTAAGATATCAAGAGTTACAAGCAGAAAATATTTCATAATTTTGAGGATAAATTTGTTCATTTTTACTTCTGGAATAAAATTAAACAAACACATAAATACTACTGGGGTTTTCTTTTCTTTTGAAAATGTCACTTATATTTCTTTCTTTATATAAAAGTTTCAAAATTCAAGAACAAATTATATTTCTTTCTTTATATGATAAGAAAAGAAAAACGAGGAATTACGAGAAGATTTGAAGGGAAGAATCACTTCAATTTTCCAAGATAAAAACCTATTTTGTACTTCTTCAAGGCTTCTAAAATAAAATAAATATAACCATATTTCAAAAAACTTGCTTGCTTCCTCAACAAACGCTGAAACAATGTTCATGTTCAGCACACATAAATACAATTTTAAAATAAGTTATACATGTTACCATGATATTCACCGTTAATATTGAGGGGAAAAATAATATATTACTAATATAATGAATATAAAAAGATAAAAAAATATAAAAGATTAAGAAGTTAAAATTGTAAATATATAAATAGGTATATTTAATAATCATTAAGTTAGATGGTAAAAATCATAAATACTAATGTAAGTTATAAAATTTTGAGAATAATAAAGGTCAAAATTATAAATATTAATATAAATGAAAAATTTTGGGTTCATTGTTCCTTCACCTCCAAAAAAACTCCCACTACATACCACATTTTCTAAAAATTCATAAAAACAAGGTAATATTAATATTTATATATCCTTTAATTCATAAGAGCATCTGGGTATGTATTTTTCATTGGGACATTTATTTGACTTTAGAAGAAACAATCCATAGTGACATTGTCAACTTATGAAGTTGAGTATGTAATAGCATCATGGATTATGTGTCATGTAATGTGGCTTAAGAATTTGTTGAGCTTGATGGAGGAGAAACAACTCAATGCAATAATGATCCAAATTGATAATAAGTCGGTTATTGAATTAACCAAGAATTTAATCAACCATGAGAGGAGCAAGTAAATTGATGTACGTTTTTATTTTATCCGATAACATGTGAAAGAAGGAAATATGAAGCCTTTGTGCATGTGACAAGCTGAGACCTGATATTTTCGCAAAGTCATTGTCTACTGTGTTGCTCGAGAATTGCAAAAAACTGATCGGGATGAAAGATAGAAGGAACTAGAGGTTGAGAGATCGATCATTCTGATATCAATTTTTTTTCAAGAGATTTAATTTTATGTGAGAGTTTTGTTGGTTAAAATTAAATTAAAAATTTGTCAGGATATTTTTAATTTTATTGACATTAATGATAGCAGAGGGTAATTATTATTTTCATTCTTAATATTAGGATTTTGACAGGTCTTCGTATATATACACAAATATAGTAATAAAAAATTAGAGTTGATAGAAAATAAAAAAATAAAAGTAGTTTCTTTAATGGTTTTGACCCGATAAGCTTAGTTAAGTGGTTCAATAATTTTGGACTGGGTAGGTAAATAAGTCCCCCAAGCTCGAAAGACAAAAACTGAACGAATTTTTTGACTTGAAAAAATGACCTCTTAACGGACAAACTTAATAAAATATTGGGAATTCGAAAAAAACGTTCTTTTTTGAAAAAAATTATGTTTCTGTTTTCCATTTTCATATTTCCCTCTCATTTTCACGTTTCTCTTCTTTTTTACATTTCTCTTCTTTTTTACATTTCTCTTCTTCTATTTTGCTTAGACATTCATTCATCTTTAAATCTTCTTTCTCCGTATAAACTATACTAATAGGTAATCAGGCACCCTTTTTATGTTTATAGAAAAAGTTCAGGTGATGGGACTATCAGAGTTATTAGTGAAATTTATCCTGAGAGGAAATAAACCAATTGTTCCCAACCTAAAAAGAAAGTCTCTTCTAATCCTGTCAAAAAGACAAGTAAGACATATGAGAATAAGGATGGTTATAGTGTTATAGATTCTTGTATTTATAAGTTTTTAATCCCCGAACTATTAATTAATGCTATGTGTCATCATCATCCACAAATGCTATACCCTATAAAATATGAAAGACGCATTAATGCTACCAATGTTTAAATGTGCATTTTTATAACACTCCATTTTATAACACTACTATTTTTTATTCTAAAGTTACATGATTTTTTTCCTTATGACAAAACAAACCCTATTTCCCCCTTTAGTGTAATAAAAATATCAGTTAACTAACAGTTGGGATTTTTATTTTATTTTTTGTGATAAACCAAATTGTATTAAAAACCAAAGCTGCAGTGAATAGAATATACAAATTATTAAAATGGTATGCAAACAAGGCGTTAAAACAAATACAACAGGTTGCAGTGATATATAGCCGATTATAATATATATTTGAAAGGTATTAGGGCTCCAACACACATAATCAAGATGGCCCCCCACCAACACTTAAAAACAAATTAACATAACACTGCTCAACTCAGCATCCACCCATTTAGGGCAACTAAACATTATGCATGTTGTAGAGTAACAAACTATTTGTCTAGGTACTTCTATTATATTTTTTAAAGATTCACTGTTATTGGAAAAAAAAATTAAAACTTTTAGAAATTTAACGAAGGTTTTGAAAAATAGTTTTCTATGAATACTCATATTTAAAAAACTTCCATGCTTCCTCAACAAACACTAAAACAATCTTCATGTTTAGCACACATAGCTACAATTTTAAAAGAAGT